CCCCAAAACCCCAAAACCCCAAAACCCCTTATTTCTCAATTTTATAAATATGGAAGCTAGTTCGCACCCACAGTTACAATACAACACTGAGAAAGTTGCAGAGGCCAAGACTGACCACAACATTGACAGACTCGACTATCTTCCGTTCTCAGATTCAGAAGCTGCAAACCACTTCGTGTGTTCGAGCTACCACAGGTAATTCCTTTGTGACCCGTAGAGTCGGAGAAACACTCACTGGCAAAATATGTGTGTTGACACAACAAGACTCAGAGATCAGACTCAGCCAGTAACTTCAGCATAACTTTAGACTCAGCGACGAGTTCAAATTCGGTATTTTCAGTCAGAGTGTACGTCAGATAGCTCCGAACTCGTTTTCAATCAAGGTGGGATGTTCTGATGCTCACTTCAGAGTGTTCACTCTAAGCAACATCGACAATGGAGTCACTTTGAATCAAGACAAAGACTTGCAGATCAAAGAGTCTGGAGGTGTGTATTTGTGTGACCTGTAGACATGATTCTTAACCACCACGAATCTGAGTTTGGAGAGTATGCTTTTGGTAAGACTTACAATAACTGTAGCAATGGACTCAGGCGACCTCATTGTGTATGACGTCGAGACCGATCAAGAAAAGTTCAGCCAGTCGCAGGCTCATGAGTACCAAGCCTGGACTGTGTTCTGTGACCCCTATCAGCAAAGTGAGTAAGGTCCTAACTGTAGACATTGTTTACACTGGTGCTGATGACACGAAGTTCAAAGGCTGGGATCTCAGAGTGTCTGGAGTACCCACTTTCACAAGCAAAGAGCACGAGTATGGTGTCACTTGCATTCGAGACTGGCTGGGTGACTCCCATTACTTGGTCACAGGTAAGTAGTTACTCTGATGTGCAGGCTCGTACGATCAGAAACTCAGACTTTGGTAAGCAATCTTACTGACAAACAGGGACAAAAGAGCACTCAAAGCACCAACAGAGACTCTGGATATCGGGATGCAAATTTGGGATATCAAGTATCACCAAGATTCTGAAAACAAATTCACGCATGTAGGAGTATCGTGTGTGTGGGACGGCATGTACTTTGCTGAAGTCCCTTCAAGTGAGTCACTGTGCACATTCTCATCACTGAAATCATTCAACTATCCAAAAGTAGAAGTGCTCTATTACGCCTTTGACTTCTGCCCCTGTGATTCAGAATCTCAGAAAGTGGTGAACGTGGCTTTCTACGACAACAATGTAGAGTTGGTCGAATTACAATAGTTCAATATCACAAAATGTTGAAGGGGTTTTGGGGTTTTGGGGTTTTGGGGTTTTGGGGTTTTGGGGTTTTGGGGTTTTGGGG